GAATAGCAATGGACCTAATACAGTTCCCTGGGGCACTCCACTGGATACTGCTTTCCATCCTGATAGTACACCGTTAACTCTAACCTTCTGCCTTCTATCCATTAAGTAATCTCTAAACCACTCACATAGGCATTGGTCTAGTCCGAAACCTTTCAGTTTACTAAGGAGACCTAAGTGGGATACTTTGTCGAACGCCTTGCTAAGATCAATAAAAACCACGTCCAACAGATGGTTCCTATCTCTGGCCTCAACCCAGTCTTCCCTAGCCAATAGTAGGTTTGTCAAGCAGGATCGTCCTGGTCGGAATCCATGCTGTTCCACAGCCAACAAGCCATGTGTTTCAACATAAGCTAATAGTTGATCCCTTATAATAGTTTCCAATACCTTTGCAATAATGCATGTCAGACTTACCGGCCTGTAGTTAGATACCAATTGCCTATCCCCGTCCTTGAAGATAGGGCTTATAATGGCATCCTTCCAGTCCCTGGGTAGCTTAGCCTGCGTCAGAGACATTTGGAAAATCTCCGTAAGCGGAATATATATTATATCCGCCAAGGAAATTAACAGCTTAGGGTGAAGTCCATCCGGCCCAGGTGATTTACCTGGCTTCAGTTTAGACAGTAGTTTGAGAACCTTTGTGTGCTCTACCACAATTGAGGGCATCTGAGTGGCGATGGCAGTGACCTCGCCATATCCCTGGGTGGTACTATCAGACGAGAAGACGTCACAGAAGTATTCAGAGAGGTTTTCAGCCTTTCCTTCGTCTGACTCAGCCGCTTCTCCACTAATGGTTATGAGTGACGGTATACCACTGCTAGTTTTAGTCCTACGTTTAATATACGAGTAAAACCTTTTTGGGTAATGAACGCAATCTAGTACTAATCGTCTCTCGTACTCTATACGACTCTTGTTAATCGCATACTTACAGAGGTTTCGAGTTTTGCGGTAGTCTTTCTGGAAGTTTTCCCTTCCTGTCATAACAAATTGGTCCCATAAGTTCTTTCGCCGTCTTAATAACCTCCTTATTTCACTAGTGATCCAAGGAGGTTCATGCGACGGCTTTCGAGGAGTGTACCAAGGTATAAAAGGTGAAGTGACACGATCTAGTGTATTCCTAAATCCTACCCAAGCTTCCTCGACAGTCCGACTTGTATCAACTGACCAGTCAACCACAGTTGCTGCGTTCCGGATTCCTTGTATATCCGCTTTCCAAATGTTTGGACGAGCAGATTTTGGCCTGTGCATGAGAGAATGAATCCTAAACGTAAAAGCAATGACTATGTGGTCACTGCTGCCAAGCGGCGGAAGGCACCTAATGTTACCAACGTCCTCCTTCTGGTGTGTCAATACCAAGTCTAGAGTAGATGGATCATGTTCAGGGTGATACCGTGTTGGTGCATGCATATGTTGCACGAGTGCACATTCAAGCACTGTCAATGTGAGCTCCCTATTGAAACAGGTATACAAACTAGTGGAGTTTAATTCCCCCCAATTAATATGTGGAGCGTTAAAGTCGCCAACAATCAGACACCTATTTCTACTACCCCACGCCCTCAAGTGATTTAGAACGAAGTCATCAGCTTGGCTAGCAGGACTTCTGTAGATAACTCCGATCGTTAAAGTGCCTTTGTTTAAGTTAATGATGCAACTTGCGGCTTCACTGGTGCCGCTGTCATGAGCTTCTGACAACGTTGACCTGATCCCTATGTCATCCCGGATGTATAGAGCAACCCCCTCACCTTTCCGACTACTTACTCTGTCTGCTCGTATGCAGATATACCCAGGTATGAGTGGAGTTAAGTCTACACCCACTAACAACCACGTCTCAGTGATAGCAATTACATCAGGTTGTAGTCTTTCAGATAACTCTCCTAATTCGGCGAGCTTATTCCTAAGACTACATGCGTTCGTATAGCACACCGAAACACCTACGTGTTCACCCGGCTTATGAAGAGAGGTCTCGGCAGCATCGGTTTCCGAGACCTCACCACCCGAAAACCCAATAGTTTGAGGTCCTTTTCGCCTTTCTCTAGCCTGGCCTTTAGTTCAGCCACGGCTTCTCTTCTTTTGATTCTATCTTCCAAAGGCCAATCAGGCCTTATTTTTAGACTTTTGTCGTTGACTTTGAACGCGTTGTCGAGGATGGTCCTCCTCTCTGTTTCGTTCCCTAAAACTATCTTAAGTAGTCGTCGAGGAGTTCCTGTAGCATCAGGGTTTCGTTTTCCGATCCTGATGGCCTTTCGTACGTGTACTCCAGTTGTTTTTTCGGGAAGTATTTCCCGGAATATGGAGCTGATCGCCTTCAGATCATCTGCATGTCGGGCAGCTGGATCTGTGTTCTTAGATTCCTCCAAGTTCCAGATGATAATACTGTAACTAGAGTCCGTGGGTTTCTGAGTTTTGCTGGTACTAACAGTCGTCGAGACCTTGTTGGTAAACTCGGCTACTGTTTCTTTCCTAGTTTTGTTTTGCTTCTTACCTTTCGGCAGCAACCAAGTGGGGTCGGTTTCTCCTACTCTGTTTTCGCCGCGACTAGAAGCCATTCGTGCACTAGACACGCTGCGCTTTGGCGTTGCTATTTCACAGGCTGGTTTTGCCATGCTGGCACTACTTGCCCTTCTGGATTTCCGTTGCCTTTTGCGCTTTGCAGCAACAGATGTTTGGGCATTTTGTGCTTCTTTCGCTTCTGAGACTTCAGGAGGTGATGCATCCTGAGTCTTACAACTATGTCCTGAACCGCCATCCTTGGCTAAGGTTTCTGGTACAGGCTTTTCAACTATGTCTTTCGACAATTTCTTGGACATCAAGAGTCCTACTGCCTCTTGGATGAGGACATCTAACGGGTTGCTGCAAAATTTGCACAGCCATGGAGATGATGGCTTGCAACATCTCTTATAGGCTACTGGTGTTAAACCAGTGCAAACTTTGTGAAACCAAAGGCTGCAGTTGTCACACTGCATCCCATTATCCACCGGAAAGTGGCAGTCCGGTCGTCCACAATTGTTAGTTGGGGTCATAATTTTAATTTGTTTCAACTATACAGTTATATATACGTGAAAACAGTGAGGTTAATACCAAACAAATACACAATTATATATACGTGTGACAGCTAGGTTAATACCAACCAAAACACAAAATGTGAATACAATAAACAACACTTTAACTAAATAAATCAGTTAAAGTGAACTAGAAGCTTCTGATATGGTTTAAACAACAAAAGCAGAATTTACTTCACAACGTTAAAAATGCCACTCTCCTTTTCAAATATTTCACGCAATCATTAACTTATCATCATGCAGACATTATTGTATTACTGTTGAACCCACTAAATGTCTAGAGAATATGCGTTACGATGACAGTTTCAGCAACTATAAGCAATACATCATAAGCAATAAATAACGCGGTGATGAACCTCTGCAGTATACAGATACAGGACACCTACTCAATGAATTTATTGTCCCACTTATATAATGGATAATGTAATACTCAATAAGCAGCTTATGGAAGCACTTCTACAAATTGAATCCATTACCATGTGATAATTTAGTCAGATGTCCAAAACAGAATTTTTATGTACAACACAATGAGCTACATTTATGCGAAGGCTAATGATTTCATTCAATCTCCAGGGTTGAAATAAGTGACTTTGAGGGGAAATCCACTCTGCAACACTTATGGTCTTTATAGAATGGATTGGTGTCACGAAATGATTTGTCATAAGAGTTCAGCACAACATTAAGTGAATATCTTCGTTATTACTCCTTTGTCTCACACCTCTGCTCACTGTCTCTATTATGCTTTTCTTGTACTTTCTTCTCTTGCTTCGCGTGCTACACGGAGTGTGGCGACTTGAACCTCCGCACATTTGTGCAAAGTTCTATGTCGAAAACAGACAGACAGACAGACAGATCCAATAAATGAAAAACAAAGGAATCTTGGTATTAAGCTAAAAAACTCTAGAAGTGAAACGGGTAAAGGGTTAAAATTTTTGGGCAAGGAGTCACACTAGATAAATATTGAGCTCTTTTATATCGAGACATTTCCTAAGCATTTGGCTGAATGCAGAATCTACATCCGATGACGGGTTAATTAAGAGTAGTGTTTATCATCTCGTAATAGGCCAAAGGAAATATTAACCTGTTACAGATGGAAGAAAGGCCAAATGCTAACAAAAAGAAACAGTCAGGTAGAGTATATTACAGGTACGCCTTTTCGTAGATTAGCATCATACATAAATAGAACTTGTTTCTAGGAATGAAACTGTCAATCAAGCGAAAATATAAGAACATTTCAAATTTTTGCAGAAGACACTATTGCACTGTAAACACGTTACACACCGTTCAACAAGTATACTACCAATACTATTAGTATACAAAAGTGTTTATACAACTTATTGCAACATTTAGACATACTACTCTCGCAATTCTTATAAGAACTTTATTATTTCCCGAAAACAACAGCAAAAGTTACAGAAGATTCAAATACACATAATGGAGGTGTAGGAACTAAATCGTGACAAGTGTTAGCATAAGTTTATTTCCTCAGAGAGCGCCCACACATATATGAGTAGAAAAAACTTGACGTGAAACCCATCGCTGCGCCCATTTCAGACCTAGGAAAAATATCCACAAAGTAGACGCAACGTTTACCTTGCTTGTCGGTGCACAGATAGTGGAAGTAAATACAGATCTGTATTTACTTCCACTAGCCCACTTCTTCCCACTTTACCCATGTTACAGCCCACTTTATCCCACTTTGCCCACATTTCAACGGAAAACTGCCCACGTTTTTACCCACATATCCCAGGTCGAAAAAAAAAGTAACCGACTGGGGACATGCTTAACGAAAAAATTAATCAGTCTGACAGTATCGATAAGAGCAATAAGAAATACACAAAATCCAACAGCGTGCTGCACTCCAAGACACGCAAACACTGGGTTTGTAAGAACTCTCTCAACCTTTCCCAACCACAAAAACACGAAACCACATACAACACTCGCCTTGCCTCCAGTAGCGAAAATATTTGTTAAACGCGCTGCTATTTAAACCGCAAACAATATGACTTAAATTATCCAGCATGCTCAAGGTCATTAACGGAGTGAGACGCAATATCTCACTTCTTTGAGTTGGGCGTATTCAAATCTATTGATTTCTTACAGCTCCTCTTTGGATGTTTCAGTAAAACTCCACTGAGAAAGATCCATCATACCATTTATTGTACATTTGCTGAGAATTCTAAATGTAATCAAGCTAAACATTGTATCTACGCATCTATGCAAACCGTATGATAACGTGGGGAGATCCAATCTGTTAATTCATTGTGCGACAGATAATGCATGCAGCCATTCGTGTATGTCTGATTCAACACCATGACGACGGCGTGCTCCATAATGCAGTACTCCAGCTAGGACAATTTTATCAACTTCAACGCTAGTTAGACGGAGAGGGTTGTCTTTTGAAAGATAGTACCTAGGTACTTACTTGTAAATTCCATTGGTTGTCCAACTTACTGAGAGAGTGGAAACCATTGAATGGAATTCCAAGAATCAGTCATTTGGAGCGCTGGCTTTAAGGAGTTCTCGGTTGCTGTTTATCGACTTCAGTTGATTTCACTGCTTGAAGCTTTGCGTGCAACTTTTAGATTGGTATCAAGTAACACCCTTACTATCTCCCGGTAATTTCAACAGAGCTGATACTACTCTCATTCCGATTGCTTAGTAAAGACTCCAGTGAAGTCCCCCATCGCTTCTTTATTGATTAAGATATACGTGTTGATAACAAGGTCGGAAACTCCATCACTTCTCTTGTTCCTACCCTTCTTATACAAGTATAGTTTCTCATGATGCTTTGTTTATTTTTCCCCTGGTCCATTTCAAACACCATTCGATTTTGGCGAATTACAGTAGTAAATATATATCATCAGTGGCGCTGCACAAATCCCGGGTCTCTGAAATGCCAATGATGATAAATGTTCCTCGGAAACTATTTCGACGCATTACTGACAAGAATTCACGAGTAATACGTGACATGTGATGTCTTCCGCAAAATAGTGAGTGGTGATGAGACCAAGTGCACCGAACAGAGGGGATTTTCACCCAAAAGAAATGCAAATATTTTGTTGTCTGTCGTCTGGACCTATGAAAACAAAAAAAGCCGTAAGCTACATCGTCAGTTAGAAAATCGCCACCAATCCTCATGATTAGTCTTCAGTGATTGAAAATGTGCCCAAATAAGTCGTCTCAGTCCTAGCACTCTAAAAACCGCAACACATCAACTGAGATTCAAGTATTTGTGAGTGAATTACTACAGCCCTTGACAAAATGGAGGAAAAATGAGTCAGTGACCCTATCACCCCCCCCTCCAATCTTCTGCCCACCAGGTTTCAGCATTGCAGCAAACCTTTCGGACCTTGTTGAATTAAATGAACATAGATTATACGCATGTACATCAAAATAGTGAGACCAGATAAGTGAGGTAAATAAATCAGATAAGTTACCTTTCCATTAAAAATAGCAGTCACTGTAGAAAATTCATCCTGTAATGGAGAATAATACCTTAGACCTGACATGTCTGGAGAATTAAGTTCATCAGTAACCATAAAAGGAATAATAAAACATTTATTCCTTTGACATGTCGCTCAAATTATCTGTCCGATAATTCCATGACTTGTGAGGCCATGGTGAACACAGACTGAGAGAGAACGCACACTGAGAGGGAGGATATTTGTTCGCCAGTATGTCAGTTAGTACATAATAACATTTGCAATAATGGTGGAGGTACTTGGAAAGGATTAATTCAGTGGATGGTCTAAGTATGGATCCCGATATCACCACCGCTTTTGTGAGCGAATTATCTGGGTTCATCTTGGGAGTGCACTTTCTGTTTTCTGTACCTGGATGACTGACTTCAAGGGGGTGGTTCGCTGTTACTTAGCATGTCGCTAGTTGCCCCGTAGCCTTTTTTCACGTTGCCTTCCGCATATATCCAGTGGGAAGCTGCTGAGTGTTGTATTTTGTTTGGAGGGTGTTCGTCTTGACGTTTGGCCCACGTGTCGTGTTCAAGTCCCTTTCGCGACCGCGACAGATTACAAGTCGCGAATGGCATCACGGAATATTTTCTCTTCATGCACGTATTCGCTAACTGTACAGGCATTGATGAATTAATTTTTAAATTATATAAGTTCAGTAAAGGGTGGAGTTAATTCTTTGATATTGTTCTAATTAGGAATGAATTTGAACAGTCTCCTTGTCAATGGAGTTGAAGATTGAACGATCAATTCTTGGTTGTTTGCTCAAAATCAACTTCCCCGATTTTCGCGGAGGCATCAATACGACAGTCATCGTCTCATCGGTCGCTGTTCAGAAAGAAGAGTGAAACATCGTCAGAAGTAATATAACGATTTATTATTGTAATATTTGTTTACAGACCTTAGTTCGCTTATTCCTTTTATATGTTGGTGTAACAATAAACAAATATCACGCGGCAGATCGGTGTTTTGGTTTTTGCGTCCGTTATAACTAAGCGTTTCTGAAATCTTCGAAGAACAGCGTGGGCCCGAGCGTAGCGAGAGCTGGGCATTAACGGTTTATGAGACGTGATTGACAGTTTCTGACGATGGAAACAGATCTGGCGGATTCAAACAGTTGGTGAAAGTTTGGATAGTCGCCGTTCATTTTTCCTGGTGCCGGTCAAGTCCTCTTTGAACAAGCAATATCTGGAACTTTTTGGAATTGGGTCAAGTTCAACAATGCCTGGGTCAAAGAAGGGACAGAGTGTCTTGGATGCAAACAGGAAAGTAAGTCATGGTGACTTGTCTGTTAATTGTAACGATGTGTCTGATGTTAAGCATGACATGGTTGATGTTACTGTTTCGCCGTTCAGGGATAATAGGAACATCAAACTCCCTAAATTTGAACCACGGTGTTTTGATGGAAACCCGGCTGATTATTTACAATTTGTAAAGGAGTTTGAGATCATGTTGAGTGGTTTTTTATTAAATGATGAATTGAAGTTAATGTATTTGATGAGATATTGCACTGGAGATGCTGCAAGAGCTATACAGTGTTGTAAGTTTATGAAGCCAAAAGAGGGCTACTACGAGGCTATGAGCATATTACGTCAAAGGTTTGGAAGACCTTCGATGATTGCAGGGAAATTATTCGAGGCTGTTAAGGGTAATGGTGGTCAATTACAGGATGACTCCCAGGCACTCACTGAGTTTTTAGATAATTTGCTAATTTACAAGAATGGAATGATTTCGATGAATCGCATGAGTGACCTCAACTCGAGTTTTATACTAGAAGTAATAGCAAGACGTCTACCTACTCGACTGCAAAGGAAGTGGGTGAAGATGAGCTCCCGTATGGAGGATGAGGGTATCGAGCCAAAGTTTGATGATATCCTGAAACTGGTAAATACTAGTGTCAATCAATCTATGAGCAAGTTCGCCAGTCTATTACATCTCACCCCTAGAATAGAGCAGTCTGAGATCAAAATGCAATCATTGATGACGAGTAGGCCTCAGAGAGGTGGATATCGAGAAAGCTCCATGATGTCTAGTAATGCATATAGACCTAGTGAGTGTAACAGGTTTCGTAGTACATCCTCAACAGATAAGTTACAAGATGCAAGACAAACACGGTTGTGTTTTACACGTGTGCAAGAGGTGCATACAGAAGTGAACTGTGAACCGGTGAGCAAGTTCAGTGATAAGCTAAATGTAAACTCCAGACCTGACTCCGAATTGTGTGACGATAACGGTGCGGTGAAGAAGTCTGTAGTTGCAACTGGTAAGCCGTTGTTGAATAGAGTGTCACAGAATAGAGTTACTGCTTCAGAGTGCAGTTCTGACCCTACAAGTTTACAAGGTATTACTAGTCAGAGTGAAGTTATAAAACCTTTTATGATTTGCGAGGAGGAACCAAAATTGTCTACTTCTGTTATTAAAGAGTTTGAAAATGATGAAGTTGACGGTAAAGTGAATATTCGTGATAATGATCATGATAGTGCAGATTTGTCTTTGGTTGATCATGATGAGATGAGGGATATGCCTACTACTGCTAAGTTAAATAAAGGTTCTGTACAACTACAACGTGAAGTAGAATTGAACGCAGATGCAGTTCCAGAAGGTGTGCATACTTGTGAGACAGTCAGTGTAATTGATCAGCGTGTAGCCCACCTATCATCAGATGATAGTGCTAAACCCGAACTAGTAGTGAAAGACAGCAGTGGTGGTAATCTTGCAGTTGGACAACTATCTGAGAGCCGAACAAGAACAGCTTCTGATCCACCACTAAGTTCATCACCTTGTGTCACTCAGTCATCGTTGGTGCTGTCATCCACAATGAAACAGACACCCATCAACTCAAGTATCTTGTGCAATGACTATGGTAGTATCAGTTCGTTTGAAAGGACGAATATCAATGGTCAGTTTAGTGTGGATAAGCCAAGTGTAAAGGAGAGAGTTATTGTTAAATTGACTTGCACGAATAAAGGCATTTCTAGTTTCAAGTTACTATTTGAATGTTATTATCTTTGGTGTAAATTACTCTGTTTCTATACTTGGTTGATGAGATATGTCGTGTGTTTGTTGGTCATCTATATTCTACGATACAATGACATGGGCGTGTTGCCGTTCAGATTTGAGGATATAGCTGATAGAAGGAAGTTAGCAAATGAACTCTGCGACGATTTTCCAACCTAGAGCGTCAACCTGAGAAGGGTTGTAGGCGTACTGCTGTAAGTCCTACAATTCTTCAAAGGGTAGCGCATCAATGAGCAGTCCAATGTGCTTGGTGTGTGATTTTGTACATATGTTCATATTGTATATACTGAATTGATATCATCTGTCATCTAGCTGTTGGTAATTCTGTTTGTGTCCGGACATTCCACAACTTATAATGGTCAACCTGTGAAGGTTTGTAGGCGTACTGGTGTAAGTCCTGCAATTCTTCAAGGGTATTCCATCAAGACATGAAATGCGAGTTTGTGTGTACTGTTTGTATATACGTGTGGTGTGTCATATCAATTGGTGTATTT